GAGCCTAGATTGTGCCACTGAACTTCAACCTGGGTGACAGTGAGACTGTCTCGAAAAAAAAAAAAATAAGTTTAATTTAAAAATGACTAGGAGGATGTAGTGACAAGTCACAGAATTCCGGCAGGCACCAGAAACTGGAAAAGGCAAGAAATAGTTTTCCTTCCAGAGCCTCCAGAGGGAGCACAGCCCTGCTGACACCTGAGGTCAGCCCAGGGATTCTGATTTTGAGCTTCTGGCCTCCAGAACTACGAAATTAACATTTCTAATTGTTGTAAGCCACCCAGTTTGTGGTCATTTGCTATAGTCACCACAGGAAACTTGTAGAGTCAGATTCCTCCATAGATGAAGTATCTGCTTTGCCCAGGAATCTTTTGGAAGGAAGGAGAGAAGAGAGAAAGAGGGTGATCTGTCCCTTGCTTGCTTAGATTCAGGCCAACACTGGTGGTCTCCAACCCAGAGAGACACACTTGTCCTGGGTTTGTTTTTTTGTTTGTTTGTAGTTTGTTTTTTGTTTGTTCATTTGTTTTGAGATGAAGTCTTGCTCTGTCACCCAGGCTGGAGTGCAGTGGCACGATCTCAGCTCACTGCAACCTCCACCTCCAGTGTTCAAGCAATTCTCCTGCCTCCTCCCTAGTAGCTGGGATTACAGGCACACACCACCACAATCCAGCGAACTTTTGCATTTTTAGTAGAGATGGGGTTTCAGCATGCTGGCCAGGCTGGTCTCTTATCTCTTGACCTTGTGATCCTCCTGCCTTGGCCTCCCAAAGTGCTAGGATTACAAGCACGAGCCACCGTATGCAGCCTGTTTTTCTTTTTTTTTCCTTTTATTTTTTTGAGGCTGAGTCTCACTCTGTCACCCAGGCTAGAGTGCAATGGCACAATCTTGGCTCATTGCAACTTCCATCTCCTGGGTTCAAGCGATTCTTCTGCCTCAGTTTCCCAAGTAGCTGGCACTACAGGCATGCACCACCATGCCCAGCTAATTTTTATATTTTAGAAGAGACAGGATTTCACCATGTTGGCCAGACTGGTCTCGAATTCTTGACCTCAGGTGATCTGCCCCCCCGCAGCCTCCCAAAATGCTGGGATTACAGGCATAAGCCACCATACCCGGTCTATTATTTTTAATAGAGATAGGGTCTCATTACGTTGCCCTGGCTAGTCTCAACCTCCTGGGCTCAAGGGATCTTCCTGCCTTGGTTTCCCAAAGTGGTGGGATTAAGGGCATGAGCCACTGCATCTGGCCTAAATTTACATTTTAAAAAGTCTATTCATCTGGAGTGGTGGCTCACCTGCCTTTAATCCCAGCATCTTGGGAGGCTGGGAGGAAGGATGGAGGATCACTTGAGGCCAGGAGGTGGAGACCAGCCTGGGCAACACAGCAAGACCTCGTCTCTACCAAGAACAAAATAAGTCTATTCAAAATTAGATCTTGAGGCCAGGTGTGGTGGCTCATGCCTATAATCACAGCACTTTGAAGGGCTGAGGCAGGAGAATCACTTGAGCCCAAGAGTGCAAGAGCAGCCTGGGTAACATAGCAAAACCTCATCTCTACCACTGCAACTTCCATCTCCTGGGTTCAAGCGATTCTTCTGCCTCAGTTTCCCAAGTAGCTGGGACTATAGGCATGCACCACCATGCCCAGCTAATTTTTATATTTTAGAAGAGATAGGGTTTCACCATGTTGGCCAGGCTGGTCTCGAACTCCTGACCTCAGGTGATCTGCCCGCCCCAGCCTCCCAAAATGCTGGGATTACAGGCATGAGCCACCATGCCCAGCCTGACCTCCCAAGTTTGAGCAATCCTTCTGCCTCAGTCCCCCAAGCAGCTGGGACTATAGGTGCACACCACCAGGCCAGGCTAATTTTTATATTTATGATAAAGATGGGGTTCACCATTTTGCCCAGGTTGGTCTGAAACTCCTGAGCTCAAACAATCTGCCCACCTGCCTTGGCCCTCAAAGTGCTAGGATTACAGACCTACTATATGTTCTTAAGGTTATCACTCAGCCCTTCCTCAAGGACGGAGAGAAGGAGAAGGAAAAGACACAGGACATGCTTCAGAAATAATGAGTGCAGTCAACCAGGCCCATCCTCCGGCCATCTGAGAGGATGTACCAATAGCGAAATTGTGGCAGGGCCAATGTGGGAGTGTTAAACATGCTCGCATGAACAAAGAGAGCTTTGTGGTCCAGGGTGGATTCTGACATGACCAGACACGTGGACATGACAACTTGCTTTCCCTTTTGAGGGAGCTACTTCATGCTGATGTGTCAGCTCTGTCCCTTTGCAAGACTCCTACTCCCATTTCACCTCTCTTGACTACTGTAAGATGTACTGTCAGATGAATGGTCACTCCTCTCTCTTTGTAATAAAACAATGTAGACATTTATGAAGTTACTTCTAGGTTTTTAATGTCAATACAATTAAAGCACGGTGCATCTTAATTGCCAGCCCCCCAACCCAGTGCAGAACAAATGGTAGCAGTCCTAAATAAAACAGAGGTTGGCCAGGCATGGTGGCGCGTGCCTGTAGTCACAGCTATTCGGGAGGCTGAGGTGGGAGGATTGCTTGAGCCCAGGAGTTCTGGGCTGTAGTGCGCTATGCTGATTGGGTGTCTGGACTAAGTTCGGCATCAGTATGGTGACCTCCCGGGAGCTGGGGATCACCAGATTGCCTAAGGAGGGGTCAAAACTCCCATGCTGATCAGTAATGGGATTATGCCTGTGAATAGCCACTGCAGCAGTCCAGCCTGGGCAACATAGTGAGATCCCATCTCTTAAAAAAATAAACGAAACAAAACAGGGGTTGGCACTGAACTGAAGACAGGTGAGGAAGCCAGGCTGGGATTTCCGTAAAAGTGCCCCAGGCAAAAACAGTTTACATCTAAGGTGCCAAGTTTTCCATAGTGCTTTTTCCAGACTACCTAAAACTATTTTTATATCCATCATTTCCTGTATCTTACAGTTTGCCTAGAAGCAGGGAGAAAGACAATTAATTCAATTTTTCTGGAGAAACAGAGATCCAGCAATTCTGTGTCAAGGGGCATAGGTAGAGTCAAAAAATTATCTGAAAGGCTGGTATCCACTTGTCATGATAACAATGGTGGTAAGTAGCTGTTTGGTCAAATGTTAAGAGTTCAAATCTTGGCTCTGCCATTTACTAGCCATGTGACTTTGGATAAGATGCTTGAACTCTGTCTCAGCACCTTCATTTGTAAAGTAGTTCCTAGTTCACAGTCTCCTCAAGGAATTGTATGAGTCACATGTGTGAGAAGCAAAGAACAACACCAGCCTACAGTAAGTACTCAACAAATGTGAGTTATTTTTATATAGTGCTTTATGGTTTACAAAGTGCTTTCACCTCCCAAGGTCAAAGTGATCCTTTTCACATACATTATTATATCTCAAGATCCAGATCACTTGACTTTTAACCCAGTCATTTGCAAAAAATTCAGAATATTGGGTAAAATGCAGCATGCTTTACTGAACACATCCAAGGAGGCTAATACTAGGTATTGGTGTTTCCAGCCCAGTCCTGTCTTTTTGCTCCATCCCCAGAAGAGCATTCTGCAAGGTCCCCAGGAAGCTCTGGAAGAAGCTCCTACCCAGGAAGCATTAATTTTCCCTCATCCTTTATATAGCAAGAGGCAGAATTAATGCACATTGTTACTTAAGCTCCAGCTGTCTTATCTCCCTGCTTCCAAACACCACTGACTACTCTTTAGAAAACCAATTCCGGGCTCAGGGAGTTACGCTCTATCATTTCCCCTGCTATAAACTTTAGATGCCTTATAAAGCAACCACAAAAAGCCACTCCATGGGTGCTGGTCACCATCCCTCCCCCATACTCCAACCATGGACAGGCCCAGGACTGACATTTCTGGAAAAGGCAGTGTGTGCAAGGTTAGGTTACCACGGTCCATACAAATGAGGAAATGAGGCTGTAGAAAGAAGAAGTAACTTGCCTAAGGCACCACAATGGACACAAGTGCTCTAGCTACAGCGCTTGCCAGCTCTATAATCTTCCCCAACCTCTCTGAGCTGAGTTTTCTCATCTGTAAAACTGGGATAATGATTAAACACACCCCTAGGGTCAGTGTAAAAATTCAGTGAGTTAATTCACTTATTATGAGTAGCACAAAGACTGGCACATACAAGAGCCCAATAAATACTAGGTTTTATTATTATTATTACCAAAAAAGACTATCAGTTAGGGTTTACTCATTGCCTCTTTCATTATAGCAAGTTGGGACCCTTGTCCCTGACGGAAGACGGTGATTTTGTTTCCAAATGAAAGAGTGTTAACATCCCCCAGCCAAATTCACCAGGTGGAGAATGGGGCATCAATATGGTTATGGCTTCTACCTTCTTTGCGGTGGGAGTAGTTTTGTCCAACCTACGATACAATTCATGTATTATTATGCAGTGGTGATTTGAGTCCTTCTTCGAATCCTTTTATTGACAGGATATCCACTCCCTCAAGAAATAAGCCCATTCCTTTTGAACACCTCTTATAATTAGGAAGCGTCTTTTCTCTCTCTTTTTTTTTTTTTTTGACACGGAGTCTCGCCCTGTGGCTCAGGCTGGAGTGCAATGGCATGCTGTGGGCTCACTGCAGCCTCCACCTCCCGGGGTCAAGCCATTCTGCCTCAGCCTCCCGAATAGCTGGGATTACAGGCATACGCCACCACACCTGGCTAATTTTTGTATCTTTAGTAGAGACGGGGTTTCACCATGTTAGCCAGGCTAGTCTCGAAGTCCTAATTTCGTGATCCACCCGCCTCAGCCTCCCAAAGTTCTGGGATTACAGGCATGAGCCACCGAGCCTGGTCAGGGAGTATCTTTTCTCTGTTCTTTCTCCCTCTACCCTCCTGGCCCTTCCTTCCTCTCCTCCTTCCTCCTTTCTTTTTCCCTTCCCTCTTCTTTCTGCCCTGTACCTCTTTTCTTGTTCCCTTCCAGGTCCTGCCAGCTCTGAGAACCTGAGATGCTGCTCCCCACCCCCTCTGCCCCACCCAAAGGCACTATCCAGTCACTGAGCATAGCCTTGGAGAGCACAGTAGGTCTTTGGTGCAGCCGCTTGGCCGGCTGATTAGGAACCCAGCCCCCGATGGTCCTAACAACCCCCTGGGTTTTGCAGGATCTTTGGGAAGCAAAATCTTTTATCTAGGCCTTATGGCTTGGCCTTCTGGTCCATTAGTATCATCCATCAGTTCACCTTATTTCCATTAATAACCGCATCTAGAACCACATGAAACTTGAAATGGGTTGATCTGCTATCTTGAGGCCCAGCTGGGCGGGTATGCAAGCCAAGGAGAGGGCTGGGCGCCGGGGGTGACTCTCGGGACCTGAAGCATACTAGCAGCCCACAAGGTTGGGGTCCTCGCCTGCAAGCCAGCGCGGCTACAGCTCCAGCCCGCACGGAGCCTCCTCGGACAGCGCGGCCGCTTTAAGAGAGGGGCGGGGCCCGGGTACAGGCAAGGCAGGGCCAGCCCACAAGGCTTCTTTTCCTTTTTGATCCATTCAAAAATTACTCATTGCAAATTCCCGGACCGCTAGGCAAGGAGAAGGAAGGGGGCGGAGGAGACACGGCTACTGCAGGCTCAGCGCCGGGGGCAGCCGGGGGCCCGAGTGGCTGAGGCTGGTCCCGCAGCGGCTGCTCGCCGGCGCTCTGGCTCCTGTGGCCTCACCAGGAAGCGTCAGAGTCTCGAGTCTGGGGAAGCTCGGAGCGCCGCCTCCGCCGCCGCCGCCGCCTCCCGCTGGCTCTGGGTCCCCGAGCCCCCTCCCCTGGCCCAGCCCGACTCCCTCCTCCTTCCCGGACGATCCGGCTTGGGCGCCGTCCCTGGTGATGGCTGGCCGCTGAGCCATGGCTCAGTACGGCCACCCCAGTCCGCTCGGCATGGCTGCGAGAGAGGAGCTGTACAGCAAAGTCACCCCCCGGAGGAACCGCCAGCAGCGCCCCGGCACCATCAAGCATGGATCCGCGCTGGACGTGCTCCTCTCCATGGGGTTCCCCAGAGCCCGCGCGTAAGTGGCCGGGCTCGCAGCCCCGGACGACCCCTCCCGCGCGCGCGGCCGGCCCTCGGCTTCGCTCCGGCTCGCCTCCCAGCGCCTGCCGGACGGGCGGCGCGCTCCCCGCTGCTCGCGACCTGTTGGGGGCAGGATGGGCGCGCTGGCAGCCCGGGATTCGGCTCTGGGCGGGGGTGCCGGGGAAGACGCGGCGCGGGGGCGCTGGGCAGGGGCTTGCCTAAAGCTGGGAGACGAGGGCCCGGGGTTCGAGCCCCGGGTACGGTGCCCGGCGTCCGGCCCCAGCGGGTGGAGCTCAGCGTTTCTTTAGCGCGCTCCCCTAGGTCTCCAGCGCCGAGCGCCTGGGTAGGCGGGGCCCCGCGTAAGACTCGGGCATCCTCTCCGGCCGGAATACTGGGCTGCCCTGGGATCCTCCCGTGTCTGGGAAAGGGCGAGAGACTGCGGGACAGGGAGGCCGGCGCCCCCGTTGCAGCGGCTTCCAGCTCCGGATGTCGCTCTCAGGCTCGGTCTCCCCCTGGAGTAGGAGGAGCGGGAGCGTGGGTGTTGCTGCGTGTTCATTGATGGGGAGGATGGAATGAGAAAGAGAAGCGATCCCTCCAGGGGACCTGGGTTCTCGTCAGTGGTGACGGCAGCTCAGAAATCTGTGGGTGCCTGAGAGTAAGGAGGGGAAGCTGTTCTTCTTCATCCTTCCTCTAGGAGAGTGGGTTAGGGGAGGGCAAGGAGAGCGCAGGTTGCTGCCCCTGGAGCCTGCTGGGGAGAGGCCTGGTTGCCAGCATAGGGCAGCGGTGGCCGGAGTCGTCTTAGGCTGGTTGGCTCAAGTGTCAGGGGCTGGAACTCTGACTAAGAGGAATCCAAGGCCCAGTGGCCAGGCCCCTCTTCCCTGGTTAATCCCTGGCTTGCAGATTTCTTCCGTGGGGACACAAGGCCTGGGTTCCGGTTGAGGCGCAGATTCCTTGCATCTTTGAATTACATCACCTGTACAGGAGAGTTGGACAAACTTTATCAGTAAGGTCCAAGTAAACGAAAGTCCTTTTTATTTTTAATTTTTTCCCCCTCATATTTTTTTTTCAGGTAATAACTTTATTTATTTATTTTTTGAGACATAGCCTCGCTTTGTCGCCCAGGCTGGAGTGCACTGTGGCAACCTCATCTCACTATAACCTCCGCCTCCCAGGTTTAAGCGATTCTCCCCCACCTTAGCCGCCTGAGTAGCTGGGACCACAGGCATGTGCCACCACGCCCAGCTAATTTTTGTATTTTTAGTAGAGACAAGGTTTTGACGCGTTGGCCAGGCTGGTCTCCAACTCCTGACCTCAGGTGTTCGCCAACTTGGCCTCCCAAAGTACTGGGATTACAGGCAATAACTGTAGGTCCCCCTTCCCTTATCCCTGGGCAAACGTTGTTTATTCTTTACTAACTTGGTTTTGATTTCTTAATCAAAGTAGACCCTTGAATTTATTATTCTCCAGACTACTGGGACACTTTGGAGTGGCCTTAGAAGGCCCCAAAATGGACTGATGGTTTCTGCCTTCCACTTACGACTTACTAATACCAGGGCTCCAGTTCCTAATACCAGAATTACAGGGAGAAATGTGGATTCTGCAGGGGTGAGTCAGGTGTGGACGCTTCAAGTGAGGTCGTCAGTATGGATGAACAATGTGCACAGCTCTCCTTAAAAACGGGAGGTGGGGCTGGGTGCAGTGGCCCACGCCTGTAACCCCAGCACTTTGGGAGGCGGAGGCAGCTGGAATACTTGAGGCCAGAAGTTTGAAACCAGATTGGCTAACATGGTGAAACCCCGTCTTTACTAAAAACACAAAAATTAGCAGGGTGTGGTGGCGCATGCCTGTAATTCCAGATTCTTGGGAGGCTGAGATGAGAAGAGCCCTGTAGGTGGAGGTTGCAATGAGCCAAGATCACCTTGTTGCACTCTAGCCTGGGTAACAGAGTGAGACTGTCTAAAACAAACAAACAAACAAACAAACAAAAAACAAAAAAAAATGAAAAACTGGAGGTGGGAGTGGGGAAATCAGCTGGGGAAGGCTGCAGAATTAGCATAGTCTCAGGCTACTGCCTTTTCTGAAATGAGGCCACCACTAAAAACCTAAATTGCTTAATTAAGAGAAGAAATACTTAACTGAACTCCTCAGACAGTCATCTCTGAGATTCAAATCAGCTTGAAGGGGACAACTTTTGTCCTGCATTGAGTCCAGGAGGTCTTGCCATGTCCTGACAGATTAGCATAAGTGCCTAATTTTGGCTTGCGCAACCCCTGAGATCTCCTAATAGCTAGCATGTATTGAATACTTACTCTATACTGTTCTAAATACTTATATCTTTGTTACCCATTTTATCCTCCTAGTAACTCAATGAAGAAGGTACTACTTATGCCCATTTTGTGAACTGGGCAACTGAGGTTTAGAAAGGCTACATACCTTGCTTAAGGTCACAGCAGTAAGCAGTGAAGCTGGGATTCAAACCCAGGTATTGTATCTGCACAGGGCAGGCCTCACACCACCTAGGGCCAGGATAGAAATAATGCAATGTGGGTAAAATGCTTAGAACAGTTCCCGGCACTTAGTGAGCAATCGTGAAGTGTTAGTTACTTTATTAGCTTCCTATGGCTGCTGTAGTAAATGGCCACAAACTGAATGGCGTAGAACAGCAGAAATTTATTCTCACAATTGTAGAGACCAGGAGTTGAAAATCAGTATCACTGGGTTGAAATCGAGGTGTCAGCAGGGCTGCGGTCCTCCTGGAATCTCTAGGGCAATCCAGTCCCTGCCTCTCCTAGCTTCTGGTGGGGACTGGCATTCTTTGGCTTGTGGCTGCATGAGTCCAATCACTGCCTTTGTGTCAAATTGTCTTTGCTTTCTGTGTCGAGTCTCCCTTGGCATGTCTCTTATGAGGGTACATGTGGCTGTACTTAAGTCCCACTTGGATAATCCAGCATAATCTCCCCATCTCAAGATCATTATCTGCAAAGTCCTTTTTTAAAAAAAAAAAAATAAGGCAGCATTCACAGCTTCTAGGGATTAGGATGTGGGTGTCTTTTGGGGGGTCATTTTCCTATGACAGCTACCATTATATTACTACTGGCACTGCCCCTCTTTACCAAAGATGTAACAAGAGTGGGCCTGGAGAGAGGGAGGCTGGGTTTGCTGCTCTTTTTCTTAAATTCTCTGCCTGGAAGGGAGTGAAGCTCTTGGAGGTCGCCTATGTAGTCAGACTCCCCCCACCCCCAGGTTTGCTTCCCTCCTCTGCTTCAACCCAGAAAGGCTGATGCAGTTGGCCTTCCTTCTAATAACTTAGACCAGTATGAAAAGGGGCCATCGGAGACTTCAGAGAGCAGGCATTTAACTTCATTTTGAAGAGGTGAGAAGAAAGAGCAAGGGTGTCAGGCTTAGCTCATCAGAAGCTTGTCTCTTGAGCTTTATGCCTGGAGGGCGGAGCATAATGAAAATCCAAAGCCTGGAAGAGCAGTGATGGTCTCCTGGGTCCAGAAGACTTGGATGTGATGCTTTAAGAAGGGGTGAGATGGTTGTTTCAAACCTGGCCCTTTTGACAGAGTGACAGTAGAGTGACAGGGCTGAAAGCTCTAGTTTCCTCTGTGGGTGAAACTGGGTCTGGTATTGTTTGGCAGCAAGAGGGGGCATTCCGGCCAGACTCTTGGTAGGCTGGCAGAGAGAGTTGAGGCCAGCAAGGCCTGGCCTGATCCAGCCGGTGCTGTGCCATGGTCTTGCAAAAGTCATTTAGTCCCCTTGGGGCAATGCTAGTGCCCTCTGAGGGGAACGCCATTAATGAATGCACGCTTGTTAAGTGCTTGACAGAGCTAAGAGGACCAGAGGGTTGCAGGGCTGGCTCAAGCAGGGTGACCTCAGGGTGTGCTCTCTCCAGCTCTTTACTCCCTGGAGCTGGGCTAGGTTTTTTCCATCCTAATATATGAATTTCATTCCAACTTAGACACCGCTATAGAAGAATTTGCCACGCCGGGCGCAGTGGCTCACGCCTGTAATCCCAGCACTTTGGGAGGCCGAGGCGGGTGGATCACGAGGTCAACAGATCGAGACCATCCTGGTCAACACGGTGAAACCCCGTCTCTACTAAAACTACAAAAAATTAGCTGGGCATGGTGGCGCGTGCCTGTAATCCCAGCTACTCAGGAGGCTGAGGCAGGAGAATTGCCTGAACACAGGAGGCGGAGGTTGTGGTGAGCCGAGATCGCGCCATTGCACTCCAGCCTGGGTAACGAGCGAAACTCTGTCTCAAAAAAAAAAAAAAAAGAAGAAGAAGAAGAATTTGCCACATGGAGAAGTCTGAGAAGTGGCAATTTCATGGTATGTGTGTGTGTGTGTGTGTGTGTGCACGTGTGCAAATCCAAGTTAAGGAGGTGTTAGGGAGGCATCAGGAAGGAAACCTTTCAAAGGGCCAAAATGGCCAATTGCTTCCTTTTTTCTTTGCCCACTAGTACTTCCCTGTTTTAAGAGTTCTAAAAATAAGGGTCCAGCTTCCGCGATTGAGGCTAGTGAGGTTGGTTGGAGGGAAAAGAAAGAATGTGTTGGGGGCAAAGATCTGAGGAAGAGGAGGCCTCAGAGGCCAGGAGAGGGTCTGAGCCTGACACCGGAGAAGACGGGACGGGACTCAGATCTGGGCCATCTCTTTGCACAGCTGGACCTGATGTCACAGCACTAACACCCCCCTGCTGACCTCTGGTTTCTGGGGAGACAGGCTCTTAGCTCTTCTGTAGCTTGGGGCTGACGCTGGGCCTCGGAGCTAGTCACTGAATGATTGAATTAGAGGAGTCCTTACTGATACAACCCTGACCGTTTTTTAATTTTTATTTTTTGAAGCCGCCAGTGGCTGGAACTTTGTCTACAGCAAATGGCTGTCTAATGTTTCCTAATGATTGAGAGATAATAGTCTTGGGAAAGACACTGTAGCAGGGGTCAAAGGTCCCAAGGTCTTGTCTAGTTACTGAGTGACACCTGCACTTTTTAGGT